TTTATGTTTATGACATTTCTACCAGTAGGACTATCAGGAGTGAATGAAAAGACTAGAGTCTAGTAGATTACTATGGTGTCAGTGTCCTAGGATATGTATGGCAGATTAAGGGGATGTTGTCTAATAGTTTAAGGCTAAAGTGTAGGTTTTGTGTTTATTTACAAAATCTAAGTCTTATATGATAAAAATATTCTTATTAATTTGTTTTTGGATAACAAAGGGCATGTTTTAGTTTTTCTTATTTAAACATTCTCCTGATGGAAACTCAAATATTCTAGCCAATACAGAAGAACAAGTGTAACTGACCACTCTCATTTCACTGCCCAAGCTGAGTAAAATGGAAAACCTAAAGGATTATTAAAGATGATGGGAATTTAGATACCTATTTTTAATATATGATTTTTTTTATCCTGACCGTGTTCATTTAAACTACAACCACCTGTCCAATATCAGACTGTATTTATAATCAAAGCAATCAATGTAAAGCAAATGTAATTGGAAACCCAGAGGTACACGTAGGTTTCCAGGGTTGGATGCATTTTATCATTATGATACTCATACTACTAGCCAAAAAGACACAAAGACCAAATTTTCAGACAGCTGCTGTAAATGTGACCATGAACTTAATGGATACATATTTCTGCATATGTGAACCATACTTTTGTCTATACCAATGCAGTAAGTTCTTTCAAAAGGGTGATTTGCAGGCACAATTATCTAATGTGAATGCACCAATGTTTTGTTTATGTACATGCAAAGTGATATGCTGGGGTAGATCTACTTTTGAAACCTGGTTGAAAATTTGGCCCCAAATGGAAAAGTGAACATTTTAATTCCGTAATTCACACATAAAATCCAATCATCCTGAATCATAAAGGAATGCAACTAGTTATTATTTATGGATTTATTTTTACAGCACCACAAAGTGTGCTAGGGGCTTTACAAACAAATAGAAAGCCATTGTCCTTGCCCTGTAGATCTTACAGTATAATTCACGATCTACCAAATTCACCGCCCATTTTGGTCAATTTCACAGTCATAAGGATTTAAAAAATAGTAAATTTCATGATTTCAGCTATTTAAATCTGAAATTTCATAGTGTTATAATTGTTGGGATCCTGACTCAAAAAGGAATAATGTGTGTGTGTGTGGGGGGGGGGGGGTTGCAAGGTTATTGTAGGGGGGGTTGCAGTACTGCTACCCTTACTTCTGCACTGCTGCTGACGGCGGCGCTGCCTTCAGAGCTGGGTGCCTGCCGAACGGCTGCCACTCTCCGGCCACCCAGTTCTGAAGGCAGTGGAGAAGTAAGGGTGGCAATATTGAAACCCCCCTAAAATAACCTTGTGACCCCCCTGCAACTCCCTTTTGGGTCAGGACCCCCAATTTGAGAAACACTGGTCTCCCCTGTGAAATCTGTATAGTACAGGGTAAAAGCACACACAAGATCAGATTTCAAGGTCCGTGACACGTTTTTCAGCTGTGAATTTGGTAGGGTCCAAAGTATAATTATGTATGGGATGCAATGAGGGAGGCTACAAAGAGTAGGGAGGGGGTAGATGAGGAAGAACAAGGGTTAAAACAATACGATCACTTGGTTACTCAGTTTAGGAATGTATGTTTCCTTCCTCATGGCTCAGTGAAGAGGTTTTATTTAATAATTATTGACACACTTCTTGTCCCAGCAGAGAGTTGAGATTTAGAGCACTTTATCCAGTCCTTCCCACTTCCTGATTTATGTCAAATGCTGTGGAGCCTCTCTAGTAGCCCCACCTGTCCTCTGAACAGTGCCAAAACGAGTAGCTAGCAGGTCACTTCCCTTTTCAAGGAAATCTTCTGTAGTTCTTCTCCTTCAAGAATTGTCTCCAGAATTATTTCTCATTATTTATTATCTGAATTGCAGTAGTATTTAGGAGCCCCAGTCATGGACCAGGACCGCACTGTGCTGGGCTCTATACAGATACAGAACAAAGACCATCACTGCCCCAGTGAGCTCACCATTAGAGCATATGTGCCCTGGGTGCCATTGGAATTACCTCCAAAGCAAAGAGGGCTCTGGCAGCGCACCCTCTCAGGTGCAGAAGTGTGGCCTCACAGTGCTTCTCTAAATGGGCTTTTATTTGGCTGGCTTTTCTCTACATTGCTTCTCTGTTTTTCAGATGGAATAGTAAGTCTGGGGTCTCTTGTGAGCATTTTGATGCAGCACAGTAATGCTGTGTTTGCATTTGAAAAGTCCGTATAAATGCCCTGCTGTGATATACAGTGTAAGGCCCCGATCCTGCAAATGCTTAATGCACATGATTAACTTTACTACCGTAAGTTGATTGATTCCATCCCCTCCCTACTGTTTCAAGGGAACTGTGCATGGTAGTAAAGTTAAGCATGTGCATACGTTTTTGCAGGCTCCAGGCCCTAAGTACAGGAAATACAGCAGTATGTTAAATAATCACTTTTTAACCACTGTACACTGCTTTAAACTGTAGCTCTAAATGTAACAATGTGAATTATGTACAGCATTATACCATTAAGGGAGCATGATATTGAAGTGTATAGCATGTAAGGAAAATATCACCAGAAATGTTTGTGTCTCTACTGTGAAACAAATTATTTTCACTATATTCACTGTTGTCTTTGACCCATGAAATACTTTTCCCTCAAAATAATCTAAAGCTGAGGTACTGGGAAGGGAGAAAGATCTTTCTGAAGTGTAAGAGCTTGGTGGGGGTCCAAAATCTGCTGTTGGATAGAGGGAAAGATCAGGAAGTGTCTATGTACACCAGTGGTTCTGTACAGATAATACAATAGTGCATCCAGCACTAATGTAATATTAAGGTTGGGAAATTGAACCGCAAATTTAGGAAAATCCAGAATCTCTACTTTCTCCCACAATGTTAATAATAATATTTATTTATTTATTGTAATTCAGTAGCATCTAGGTGCCCGAGTCACGTGCTAGGCACTATACAAACACATAAGTAAAAGATAACTGCCCATCCTATGTATTTCCTGTATGTATTATCAACAAACAATAATATGTTAAGGTTTAAATTGAACAAGAGAAAGAGATAAAGAAAATTCTATGTATGCAACATAATCAACTTCTGGGAATAACTTTAATTTGCAGGACTGACGTCCTTTTGAGTGCTTGATTTTTCCACCTTAACATAGTATTAGCACTATTTTTTCCTTTTAATTTAGAAAAATGAAGAGCTAATAAAATAACTAGATCTGGAGTTCTTTGGCCTAGGAAACTGTAATTGTGTGTCGGTTTCTAGAACCCAGCATCAGAATGCAGTGTTCCTTTGCTGAGGCACCCTAACTTCAGGCGTTAATACCTTGAATAAAGGAACAGAGTAATTACTTCTGACTCATGCTTGTTCGCTCTAAATGGGATACAAGAGTGATCGGGGTGTCTTTCTGAGGGGAAAAAGGCAGAGGACCAGGACAGAGGAAGTCCTGCAAGGAAACCCTAGGGACAGTGAAGCTTGGGGAGAAAGTTTAGGCTCAAGTTTGTGTTTTGGTGAGTAACCCTCAGGAACTTTGTTGAGGAACCCGTCAGGAATTTCACCCATTTATTATTTGTTCATGACAGAGTCTACTGTGTGCAAGGCCTTTTTTAGACATTCAGGAAGTGACGGTCCCTGCCCCCAAAGAACTCACAATTTAAGGACAGATAGCCAAGTAGACAGAGGTTACAGGAAGGGGCACAAAAAACAGGGATTTTCTTCAGTGGAGATTATAAATTGCTTAAACTAGGGCTGCTCAGCTTATGCTACAGAGCTTTAGCACTGAGCCTCTGCTGAAGCATTTTACCTAGACTGAGCTATCTAAAATGCTAGGCCTCTGCTGAAGGCTCCCTGGCTGTTTCTCTCCTCATGACCTTTCACAAGCTGCATTTCTAATATTATCATTCTAACAGTGGCATTCTTGACAGTTTGTAACTTTCTTGAACTGGAGATACTTGATTTATGGAATTTACAGGCTCAAGCAGCTTTAGGAGGACTGTAAAGTGTCCCTGCTAAACATGCCCTTAAAGCCCCAAATAGAAAACACTCTAGGTCGGATACGTGAAATTGCTGACTTTAAACATTTGTAACTTTGAAACCAAAGAACCAATTTTCCACTAATTTTTTTCCAGACTTGATAAAATCTCCTCAGCAAGTTTGACCTTGCTAGCTATTTGTATTGAGGTGGTCAGGAGCTGCAAGTTTGGGATTCAGCTTTTGAACACCTCAAAGTTCAAAAGTATTGGACTTGTGGCTTTATTCTCAGCCTATTATAAAAATAGGGGCCATTCACAAAAATCAAATCCAGCTCTGGATTTAATACCCTACCTCCCCACATCCAGAAAAAGCCCCTTTAAAAATACAGATAAAACTGAGCTTTTGGTTCAGGCCTATCCCAACTTTTAAAGTTACCTGCAGATAAAAATTTGGCTCAACTTACATTGCTTAAATTAAAAAAAAAAAAAAAAAATCTCTTTGGTCTTCTCTGCTCTCGGGAGAGTAGGAGCAATAACTCGCTGCCGATGCAGCTCCCCTGGCGATGGCAGTGGAGGCTGCTATAGATAAGGCTCTTTTTCTCTGTTATCTCACCTTATTCTGAGTAGATTTAAATGCAAAGTCATAAAAACGGCTATCTACATTCTCCCCCATTACTCCCAACGGGGTAGCTACATCAGTAGTGACTTATGGATCCTAGTGTAAGCTCAGCTATTTAGGGTAAAAGACCAAGGCTGGAAAAACTCAGGTGAAAAGGAATTTGCACGAGCAATGGAAAAAGAAGGGTTAGACTGGAAATTCGAATGCAGCTATAACTGTAGGTTTGGTTGACAACCCTCCAGGATTGTCCTGGAGTTTCCAGGAATTAAAGATTATATCATGTGACGAAACCTCCAGGAATATGTCCAACCACAATTAGCGACCCTAATTGGAGCCGTACAATAACTACTGTGAAGACCATATAAATGACTAGATCTAATGCATTTGATCTCTCTGATTCAGGCATCATGTTCCGCAAAAAGAAGAAGAAACGACCGGAGATCTCTGCTCCGCAGAACTTCCAGCATCGGGTCCACACCTCGTTCGATCCAAAAGAGGGTAAATTCATTGGCCTGCCCCCTCAATGGCAGAACATTCTCGACACCCTGAAACGCCCAAAGCCAGTCGTAGACCCTTCAAGAATCACCAGGATGCAGCTTCAACCTATGAAGGTGAAAGAGGAAAGTTAATCCTTCCCATTCTCTCAAATGCAGTGCAGCCCAAGTGAAGCAATGCCTTCTATGTTCTTCAGAATAAAAATGTCCTATTAATGTTACAGGGTGATCTGTAAGGAGACCAGGGAAGGTCAAGGTATAGGTTTTGATCAAGTTTTATCTTCTGTGAAGGCAGAGTAAAACCTCTCTTGTTTTAAAGAAAAAACAGGGTCAGCAGTAGAACCTCAGCGATAACTAAAACAACTACACTACTGCAGTTAAACTAACCCAGGGGTTCTCAAACTGGGGGTCATGAGGATATTATGTGGGGGTCACAGGCTGTCAGCCCCGCGCATGGCAGGTCTCTGGCTCCAAAGGAAGGGTGACAAAATAGAAGTTCGCCCAGAGTGCCATTTTCCCTAAGGCCATTCCTTGGACTGAGACAACATGAGAGGGCTTGATTGTTCAGCAGCTGAAGAGCTACATTGAACTGCAGATCCATCAGAACACTGAGACTGGCAAACATAAACATGTAATTTATAATTTAACAGTCAGACACACAGGCCGGAATGGCACTGGGGGAGGCTTGCAGGGGCTATAGCCACCCCAAAATTTGCCTTCGCTCCCCCTCCCAGTACAAAGGGCAAACATTACAGAGACGAAAGGGTGGCATGGTATAGCATTGCCACCCTTACTTCTGCAGTTCTGCACTGCTGGTGGTGGCGGCACTGTCTCCAGACCTAGGCGCCCAGCCAGCAGCCCCGGCTCTCTGGCCACCCAGCTCTGAAAGTACCACCTGCCGCCAGCAGCAGCACAGAGGTAAGGGTGGCAATGGGGCGCTAAGTCCGCTGTGAACAGTGATATTGACAAAGTTTCTTCGCCCCCTCTCCCAGTATTCATCAGTAACTATTTAAAAAAATCTTTTCTGCTTATAACAATGATTTGATAAATGTGTTTTAGTCTTAATTTAAAAGCGGTGAGAAAAAGTAAATTCATTTATAACAATAGGGTTATAAATTTAGCATTTAAATATAAAAAATGTGGTTTTTAATATAATTATAAGTGGGGTCACACTCAGGGGCTTGCTGTGTGAAAAGTGTCGCCAATACAAAAAGTTTGAGAACCACTGAACCAGTCATTCAACTACCCTTCTGTAAGAAATGGACCTTGGAGAGCTCCCAGCATATCCATAGGGAATATGATCCTAGGTTTGGCCTAACAAATTAGTGAACCACCTGTGCATCTGAAAGGGATGAAAGAGCAAGTCCCATATCTTACTGCCCCATTTGCAAGCCTGAGTGATGAGTTTGTACTGTCCTCCCTGTGCTTCAGTCAGGAGGAGGAGGTGAGGTTACATTGACCACAGCTTAAGCTAGTGGATCATTTAGAAACCATTACTATTACCCAAGTTTGCATTGCTGAGGTAAACTATAAACACAGACTGCTGAGGTTTAGGAGTGAACTAAAATGGTAATTTAGGCTTATTCACCCTACTGAATAGACTCCTGGAGCCGGGTTCCTGACCTTTTTTTTTTTTTTGGCGTGGAGGTGGGGCTTTTCCTTTTCCTTACTTTTGTGTAAAGGTGGTGGAACCAGTTTGCAGTCAATGTCCCAATCCAAGTGGTGATTGACAGAGCAGTTCAAACTGAAGGCAGAACAAGAGATGCATGTACACGCGAGAAGATGTATTACCACAGCAGGGAGTGGAGAGATGAATTTGCCTGCGTCTGAGCTATTGGACACACAATTAAATGAGTCTGAGTGGCCTCAACTCGCCTGTAATTGATAGGATCTTTCTCTCCTGTATTTCCTTCCTTAACTCGCAGCGAGCCTGATTCTCAGCTGGTGCAAGTCAGTGTTGCTCCATTGGAGCGGTGTCAGTTTACACCAGCTGAAGATCTGGCCCAGTGTAATTAATTCAGCATGGTTGGAGGAACCCAAGTTGAGATAACAAACAGGAGATTACCTCTCACTCCATGGGAAGATTTCCTCATACAGACTGAGATTCACACAAGGGGTAGGAGTGATATTATACTGTGTCTTCTTGTGGAGAATAGATGGTTTGAGTTCCTAGCACTTAAGCTTTTCACTTCCAAAATAAACAAGTTGGCTAGGCTGCTGTATTGAGCGTATAGGGCGTGCCTTTCATACAGTATGGGTGGTTGTTTGGATGGATGCCTTATCCTTCTTCATTTGCCTACAAGGCAGTTATGAACTGCTGCAATCCTTTTATTTCCAGTAGTGTGTTCACTATTTATAATTGCAGTGGCTTGGCAGAACAGAGGAGGGACCCAGAGATAGAACAGCATGGGTTTTACAGGTCAGGATTAAGTAACATTGGCAAAAATTGTGAGGAACCAGAATTAGAAGCAGACTAAGAAAGGCAGGATTTTGAATGTGCATTCACAGGCGCCAGCTTCCAATTTTTCCCGGGGCGCTCAACCCCTGCTCAGCCCCAGGCCCCACGCTCACTACACCCAAACCCCCATCCCCGCCCCGCCTCTTCCCGCCCCTGCTCCGCCTCTTCCCTGTCCCCTCCCCTGAATGCGCACCATCCCCACTCCTTTACCTCTCTTCCAGCACCTCCTGCATGCTGCAGAACAGCTGATCTGCAGTGGGCGGGAGGCACTGGGAGGGAGGGAGAGGAGCTAATCGGCGGGGCCGCTGGCAGGCAGGAGGTGCTGGGCAGGGGGGCAGCTTGGCTGCTGGTGGGTGCTAAGCTATGTGTGCATTGACAGACCTGTACGAGAAGAGGAGGACCTTGTACTGGAACAGAAAAAAGATTTGTAGGTAGAGATTAAAATGCACTGAGATTTGTTGAGACTCAGTTTTGGAAGTAGTGCCCCAATAAATAAAGAGGAAACTTTTGTCCAGTGCATTCAAAATCAAAGTTCTTAACACCCAACTCTCAGGACTAATTGCTAGTTCAATGTAAAATTTTAAAAGTGTGTGTGTGTTCATAGCTTCTTTGGCTGCAGTTCACAAGTGAGGTGTGGTTACAGAATGAAGTGGAGCCCAGAATAGCAGCAGGAATAGAAAATTCAGGACTGAAGTAGGTGCCCACTCCTGGAACTAGTAGGAGTGTGGCAAGTCAGGATTGAGATGCATTAGAAAAGCAGTGTGAGGAACACAGTGCCTCCCTGCTCTGTTATTTTAGCTAGTGCCACTCTTTATCACAGCAATATATAGTTCATCAAACTTTAAGAAAGTAAAAACAAAGGAGAAGCCAACCATTCCCCCCTACCCTGAACTTCAGTGACGAGCCAGACACAAAGTTCAACCCCTGCCCTTGACGTCCTGAGCCTCAGGGGTTAAAGCTCTAACTTTGCCTTTTGTTTGTGTGTTTGACAGACTGTCGTGAGGGGCAGCAGCATCGAAGTGGAGGGATATATCTCTGGGATACTGAATGATATTCAGAAGCTTTCTGTCATCAGTTCCAACACTCTAAGGGGAAAGAGCCCGACCAGCAGGAGGAGAGCCCAGTCACTTGGACTTTTGGGAGAAGACAGGTTCCCAGACATGTATCTTCAGAGCCCCGAGGTCAACTGGGAAGACAAATATGGAAACTATCTCAACTGCAATGGTGGAAGCAAAGCAGCCCGAAGGCAGACTATGTGGCCAGATTATAAACCCAGGACAAATGGGCAATCTCATCCCAATGGTATGGTAATGAAAGCAAAGTCCCTTGGGCCTTCAGAATTCCAAGGTGAGGGTGGGCGCTGCATCCAGCTCACTTCAGTTTTGCAGCACCAACAGCGCACCTATGTTCTGGCTGGAAAGAGTGACAAGGCAGAAAGAAGCAGCTCAGAATGCTGGCCCCAGCCTTGCCTGGTGGCACAAGTGAATCCCAGGCCTTCTGGGGCGGGAAGCCCTTGCCCCAAATCGAGGGAAAACAGCTTGAAACGGAGGCTGTTACGAAGTGTGTTGCCCTCATCTGGCGACTCAAATAAGTCAGGTCCCACCCTGCAGATAAAGGTACATTTATTTACTGCTTAAACCTAAATACACTGATGACTTTTTATCGTGCTGCAGTTTACTTTCACATTCAAACAATTCTGAAGAAAAACAACATCCCTCCCATTAGGTTAATGATGGAGTCAAAGAAGTCCTGGCCAAAAATACAGAACCAAAGTGGAAGGAGAGCTTAGTCCATGCAAAGACAGATGATGATGTTCCTCACAAAATAGGCTGCTGAGCATCACTCAAAGTGACAGCCAGGTATAAAGTGCATTTGCTCAGTATAGCTCAGTTTGATGGGGCATAACTTATACTGGCAAAAGCACTCTCCTGGGAGCTGTATCTACAAGGAGGACTGACTGGGATAGCTGTGTTGGTATATCTATACTGGCAAACCTTTTCTCAGGGCTTGTCTAATTGAACAGTTAGTGTGCAGGAAGCTGGGGTGTAAATCAACCTTGCACTAGTGTGCCCACCAGTGTCCGAGTGGACCCTGCTACCACATACTGGAAGTTCTCTAGTGTGCTTTAATTTACTCCATTTTGAAATGGGAGTAGATCAAAGCACACTAGGGAACTTTTAGCACATGGCAGTAGGGGCCACTTGTGCACAGCAGACTAATGCAAGGTAGATTTACACCCTAGCTTTTTCACACACGGTTGATATAGACAAACCATAAACGTAGACTAGGCCTACAGATGCAAACTGACCCTTTCCGGCAAGAGAATTGGGCAGGGCTGGGGCTCACATCAGGTTCATATCTTTTGTTCCTGAAGTTCAGGCTTCAGGGTGTCAGCCAGCCACCACCAGGGGTCAGGAAGGGATTCCCCCGCAGTGTATTCTGGGTGGTTTTTTTAATCTCCTTCCTCTGAAGAATCAGTGATGGCCATGGCTGGAGATGGGACACTGGATGTGGTGGGCCAGGGTTCTGAGGTGGCACCAAACATTCTCTCAGGTGCTTGGCTGGTTGGTGTCCCTTCCTCAGATTCCAACTGATGGCTATATGTGGGGTCTGGAAGGAATTTTCCCTGGTGTCAAATTGGCAGTGAGCTTGGGGGTTTTTCACCTTCCTCTGGAGGGTGTGGGTCACTTACCAGGATTATATGGTATATGTCATTTAATCATCTCCCTGCCATTACAGGGGCCTTAGGCACTGGTGCACCTTGGTCCCTCCAGTTCTCTGCCTGTGGCACATAATAGTCTAGTCGCCTGTGGGTCTCTCTTACTTTGGTCTCATTTCCATTGCTGGGTTTAGTGTGTGGGTGCTGGATAGTGTTGGTGCCCTTTGATAGACAGGAGGTCAGACTGGAAGATTTAGTGGTGTCTTCTGACTTTAAACTCTGACTTTAATCTATTTAAGCACTACTGTTGATGGGGATGGAATGATTTACAACTATTCCATTCCCTGGAAGCCTCTTTGTTTTGAGTGTATGACTAGAATAAAAAGCAACTGGTGCGATGGCTCAAGGCACTGATAATGGCTATAGAATAGAAAACCTCTGGATCACTGTTGTCAATTCAACTGAGGTCATTACCATCTAATAACTGTTTGGTGCCTTCTGTAAGATGGGTTGGTTCCCTGCAGGTCAGTTCTGAGTTATTGCTATGTTCCTTTATTCTGAGGAAGGTGACAAAGGCAGATGGGGACTGGAATCTCTGACTCAGCAGAACTGATTTGCTATAATATGCTGGACGGTGGTGCCCTTCAATCAAATGAGAACAATCACAGGAATGTTCTTCCATTTTCTTAAAGAATGGACACTTAATTTTCAAATACAGCTCTGTGTCTCTTGCTTTCTCTGTCCCTCACTCTGTCTCTTTACAGAACTCTCTCTCTCTCTGGGCCTGTTTTCTTTCTCATTTTGTGCACAAATCTATCTGCCTGTCTGTGAGTGGCACTGAAAGAAAAACAGATCCTCACCTGGCGTAAGTCAACCTAGCTCCACTGAAGTAAATAGAACTATGCTGATTTACATCAGCTGAAGATCTGGCTCTAAGCCACTGTAAGGAATGACCATCTCTGCCCGCCCCTGTAGAAGGAAAAAGGACCTGTCTGAGATACCTTGCTCTGTATTCTCACAGAAGTGTAAGTGTGTGTGGAAGTGGGGAAAAATAACATGTACATCTAGGGAAATGTGTAACTGTGGACAGATTGACATGGGAATACAGCTGGATAAAAATGGGAATGGGTATGCCTAGACAGACAGACAGGGAACAAAATGTAAGGATGGAACAGTGTGGGCTTGTGAGCCTCCAGATAGATGGACCCAGGGAACACCCACAGTTACCAACCTAGGAATGTGTATATACATGAGGTGATAGAAGGCTGGAGCAGGAAATGTATGTGCATGTGGTTAGACAGACATGTATGAGCCTATGTGCATATAAAGGTCTTTTGTGTGCTTTAGGTTATAAAAAAACCCCACCCCTATTCTTGTGTAATAAAACAAGAGTTCAGAAATAAATACCTTCCTGTCAGGAGCATGTCTGTGCTGGAATGCAGGGGTAGAGCTGCTATGGGAGCAGGAAGTCATTGCTAACAGGCAGTTACTTCTGTGTGTATTTGTGCTCTCTGTGTGCCAGTGACTTCACAGCCATGGTTGCACACATGGGTGTCTGTATATGAGTGCCTGAAAATGAGTGAGCGAATGGAGAGGTTACACTTCTGTAGTTTTTATTATCAACAGAAATCCTTAATAAAAATTCAGGCTTATATAGTTAAGGTCTAGTATAGTCTCTCTCTGAGTGTCTTAAGAAGATTTCTAAAAGTGAAGAATTCTCTCTATAGCGGTAACTATTATCTGCCTTTCCCTCTACGCCTGCACTATCAGCTTTCAACTCTCCATCTAAATAATGACAGATAAAGGTTTGTTGCCACTGAATATTTGTTTACCTATAAATTATAAATGATTGATTTGCTATTGATGGGCAATGGAAAGTGTTTTGATTAAGCACTTTCCGGTGAAGCTGATACTGTGAAGTATAGCTGGAACAGGCTCTCTCATTTTGCAGCTGACCACGCTTTATGTTGAATTTCAATTAGTCAACATCGCCTGGGCGACCGCTGATGCTTAGACATCTTAAATCCTATAGAATTTATCCTTTCTGGAGATCTATCCATTTTATTAGTGTGAGTGAGAGTGTGTGTATTCTTAAGCCATATCACTGCAAGCTGTGATCTTATTAGCTCTCATAACCTGAATAGGGTTGTGCCTGTTTAGTACTTGAGTGGGAGGTCTCCAGAGAGAGCCCTGAGTACTGCAGCAAAGAGTGTTGGTAATTCAGATTCCTTTTGAATCAGACCTGAGCCAGTGGCATAGTAAGGTGTCACATGACTCTGTGCTGCTGGGGGTCTGACCTTTCCAATAAGACACTGCCCATTTACACTATTAAAAATCCCATGGCACTTTTCCCAAAACAAAGCGAGTTAACTCTGATGTCTTGGCCAAATTCCACTTTGGGGAATTACATTCTGCCTACTTAAAACTCTCCCTGCACCCGTAACTGAATACTTACAGAGCACTTCTTATCTATCTACCTCAAGTGATTTACAATGTATGTAGGATTCATTATCCCCCATTTTTACAGATTGAAAAAAATGAGGCCCAGAGCAAACCATATTTTTCAAAAGTGCCTCATGACTTTGGGCGCCTCCATATTTGGGTGTCCAATTTGAGACACTTTCTAGGCACCTGAGTTTTTTCAGAATATGCTTAAGCTCCTACCCTCTTGAAGTCAGCCCCTTGAAGGTGTCTCAAGATGGACACCCAAATCCCTAGTTACTTTTGAAATTATTGGCCTGTGTGACTTGTCCCAAGTCATCCCATAGGTCAATGGCAGAACAGGGAATAGTACCCAGCTCTCCTGACTCCTAGTCTGGTGCACTATCCACTGGACCACACTGGCATAACATACTAATCTAATCAACATTTTTTTAATCCACTCTTCTCAGTCTAATGCTTTCTGCAGGCCCCAGCAATGGGGTTCTCCACGCAGTCCTGCAAACAAAGCCCAGTCTCTTCCGCCTGACCAGCCAGCACCAGATTTAACCAGGATAATTTCAGAAGCTGGTACCCCCCAGAAGAGCCCAACAACTGAGAAGGCAACTACATTGCCACAGGGCAGGCCATCACCAGCAGGATCCCCCCGAAACAGACACACTCAGAGCAGTTCCAGCAACCTTCACCTGTCCCAAGACTCTTCTGCTAAAGGACAGTTGGCCAGTGAGGACCCTGTGGTCGTGACTCATGAGCAGTTCAAGGCCGCCCTCAGAATGGTTGTGGACCAGGGTGATCCCCGGACATTGCTGGAGAACTATGTGAAGATTGGTGAAGGGTCCACAGGCATTGTCTGCATCGCTCGTGAGAAGCACTCTGGGCGACAGGTGGCAGTAAAGATGATGGATCTGAGAAAGCAGCAGCGACGGGAACTTCTTTTTAATGAGGTGAGGATGGTAACAGGTGAGCGGTGGACTGTTCTTTCTGTAATGAAGCAAGGACAGCGATAGGCTCATCTTTTATTTTTCATGGAGGGAAAATGGTAAGGAGATGAGGATAGTAAAAGGAGGAAAGAGAAGGACCATCTTCCTTTTTAATGAAGTGAGTCTGGTAATAAGAATGAGAGGGGGCATGAGAGTGCTTCAGTGAGCTTATGTCACATGTGAGACAGAAAGACAAATGGAGCCCACCTAGATCTTTGGGGGAGGTTTTTGCTTTATGGTTATGGGTGATGTAGTTGTGTGGTAAAACATATTTCCTACTTTCTCAGGTGGTGATAATGAGAGACTATCAGCACATCAATGTGGTGGAGATGTATAAAAGTTACCTGGTGGGAGAGGAACTCTGGGTGCTCATGGAATTTTTGCAGGGAGGAGCCCTCACAGACATTGTGTCTCAAATCAGGTATGAAGTACAAAGAAAAGAATGCTACCCGATGGGCAATAGCATGACTGTAAGGCCTGTGTCATGAAATTCATTTGGAGAACTTATTTTTTGTTCTGATCATGATTGCAATGCCTTATAATTATAAAATTTTATAACTGAAGCCACCAATTCTTTTGAAATAAGTGGTGGTTCCTCTGATCTAGGAAGTGGGAAGCACCTAGGTTCATAAGACCCAAAGCTGTCTCTGCTGGTGACCCAGTATTTGAAATATTGCAAATAAAAAAACTGTGTGTTTTAATTAGATTTGAATGTAATATAGTAGAACCTCAGAGTTGCAAACTGACTGGTCAACCACACACCTCATTTGGAACTGGAAGTAAGCAATCAGGCAGCAGAGACAAAAAAAAAACAAATGCTGTACAGTACTATGTTAAACATAAACAACTAAAAAAATAAAGGGAAAGTTTTAAAAAAAGATTTGACAAGGTAAGGAAATTTTCTGTGTGCACGCGTGTGCGTGCGTGTGTGTGTGTGTGTACACACTGAGGATGTTGCCTGGGCCGCAGCTGTGTTCTGACTGGGCCACAGGTTGAGAACAACTGGCTTAGCGTACCAGCTTGGAATATGAATTTGGGGACATGGCTCTTGTTTAAATCTAAAATCTGTTTTACAAACATGATTTGTCTGAATGTAATGCTTGTGAAAGATTCTGAATCGACAGCCCTTGAGACAAAAAATCTACTTATCAATACAAAAGGGATTCACAGGGCAGTGGTAGTACTAGCTTTTCCACACTGCCCTGCTTCAACCCTGAGCCTCAGGAACCACATAGGGGTGAAATTATAAAGTAGTTCAAGCTTCAGGCGCATCTGCTTCTTGGCTTTTTTTTTTTTTTTCAAAAAATTACCCACAACAGTACCACTTCCGATCGCGCTCATGTTTTTTGTGATATGGACACTTGGTCATTGTGAACTAAAAGTAAACATCTTGAAAAATTACTGATAACAGAAAGGGAAGTTGATTGAAGGGTCACACTGCACTTCTAGGAGATTTTCATTGATTTAACCTGTGTGGTCAAATGTGAGGCAGCTTTACAATTCTGGGTTTTATTTCAGGCTAAACGAGGAACAAATTGCAACAGTGTGTGAGTCGGTGCTGCAAGCCCTTGGATACTTGCATTCCCAGGGTGTGATTCACAGAGACATTAAGAGCGACTCCATTCTCCTGACCCTTGATGGAAGGGTAGGCTTCCTGTGTTTAACTTCCTCAGTGTCCAACTCACCCAGGTTCTTTCCTTTGACCTTTCCCATCAGCCTCTCCTTCCCTTTCTCGTCTTTTCCTAGTCTCACCTTCTCTTTTATCTTCTGCTGCTGTAACCTTATTTAGTCTCCTACCCTTCTTACTGTTTTTCTACTCTTTTGCTTTTCTCTTTGTCTTATCCAGTCATCTTCTCTCTGTCCACTTGGTCTTTATCTTTGTCCCATCGTCAACTCCCTCCTTTGTTTAAAGATTCCAGTGATCTTCCTTCTTCCCCCTCTCTCACAGGTGAAACTCTCAGATTTTGGCTTCTGTGCTCAGATCAGTAAAGATGTACCAAAAAGGAAGTCCTTGGTAGGAACTCCATACTGGATGGCTCCAGAGGTTATTTCAAGGGCTCCATACACTACTGAGGTAATCTACCGCTTTCCTAATGCAAGAGCTAGTAAATAACAGTCTGAGATATTACAGGGACTCACTGAGATAACAATAAGAAAAGGAGTACTTGTGGCACCTTAGAGACTAACAAATTTATTTGAGCATAAGCTTTCGTGAGCTACAGCTCACTTCATCGGATGCCATCTAAGGTGCCACAAGTACTCCTTTTCTTTTTGCGAATACAGACTAACACAGCTGCTACTTTGAAACCTGAGATAACAATCTATTCCTCTTCTCAGGAGACAGTTAGGGCCCATACCAACATAAACAACTATGACAGAAAACTTGGTTACAACATAGTTATTCCCTGACATGGTTAAAACATAGTTCAGTCTGGTAATGTAAACAGGGTGTAACTAAATTTTAACTGTTACTGAAACTTGCTACAACCCTGCATGTGTGGACAGACTCTAGCAAGGAGAAGCTTGGGACATGAATTGGAATCACTGAATTAATTTATCCTATTTTCCAGGAGAGATGGGGAAAGGGAACATGTTTTATGAAGCAGCACTGCAGGTGACAGATTCCAAACTGATAAGCCGTTATTTATCCATGGAACAGATAGTCTGAGCAATGACTATGCAGTTATCTCCAAACTACATCATCATTGTGGCTCAGTCCCAGCCTGGGAGGAGCAGCCTCTTGGGAGGGCCAGTCTCCATAGTCCATTCAGTCTTAACAATCTATGCTAAAACAGTATGCAAGGGGTCCAGTTAGTGCTAATCTGAGTTAATATTTCACTTTTTCAATAAGATCAGAGAGCTGTCTGAGATGTTATAGCACTTGCTTTAGAGATACAACCTTTTCTTCACCCGCAAAGAGATCAAGAATAGAGAGTAGTAGGCTGTTGTTATTGACTGTGTTCACAGATGTAATACTCTGCTGCTGCAGGTGGATATCTGGTCTCTAGGGATCATGGTGATAGAGATGGTGGATGGAGAACCCCCCTATTTCAGTGACTCCCCAGTCCAAGCAATGAAGAGACTCCGTGACAGTTCTCCTCCCAACCTGAAAAATTCTCACAAGGTCAGTATGTCTGCAGGCACTTTGCAATCTGATAAATCCCTGATTGCCATGTGGGGACTGAGTAGCTGAGGTCCAGATAGACTGTTTATTAATATATCACATCTGGCTATGGAATCCCAATCCCACCAGGACATTGTTTCTTGGGAGGCACTTTCATTCCTGTTCGATGGAGGCCACAGGCTGGTGGATTTATCTCCGTGCTTCTGCCCAGCTCAATAGACACTACTCAACGATCTCTTTCAGATCTCAATGCCATGGTAAGTAGTGACACCTAGTGACACTGACACCTAGTGACTACTATCCCTAGTAAAAACAACGAGGAGTCCTTGTGGCACCTTAGAAACTAAGGAATTTATTTGGGAAGTCTCTAAGGTGCCTCAAGGACTTCTTTTTTGCTGATACAGATTAACACGGCTACCACTCTGAAACCTATCCCTAGTAAAATACCTTTGGTTACTGTAACGCTGCTTGCCTTATATGATTAGATCAAATCCTGGTCCTGGCAAAGTCAAGAGCAAAATACTGCTGAATTCAACAGGGCCAAGTCATCACAGTAGCGAATGTGAGGGTCCTTGCACCTGGTGTTTTGAAATCTTCCATTTTAATGGCACTCTCAGCTGTAAAGCCACCTCATGTTTAAAAGAAAGGAATGGTTCTAGGTAAATGATGGCTCATGCAATGAACTGCAGCCACTCTGATAATTAACCTAACTTGATCATTACTTATAGAAAATTAGCACTAATGTTCAGAAATAGTGATTTCCTCTTCAGTCACGAGTTAAATTGCTGTGTTAGTTTTTTGCCTTTGCAACACTAATATTAAAAAATCAGGACCAGATTTTGGCATCAGAGAATCCTTAGGTGACATACAGCCAGTTCTGGCCTCCTCCCTCTGTGCACGCACTTCTCCCTCAAGAGTGACCCCTTGGGGGCAATTACCAACCAGCACAATTTATAGCCTTTGAGTTCTCTAAATTGTCTTGGGACAGGGGAGTGAACTGATTTACAGGAGACCTTGGGACCAAAACGCGGACCATAAAAATACCTATGATCAGGACTCCCTCCAGCCATGTGAGTGGAGCTCAGTTGTAACTGAGGATTCAGTGCTCCATTACTACAAAAAGAAAAGGAGTACTTGTGGCACCTTAGAGACTAACCAATTTATTTGAGCATAAGCTTTCGTGAGCTACACCTCACTTCATCAGATGAAGTGAGCTGTAGCTCACGGAAGCTTATGCTCAAATAAATTGGTTAGTCTCTAAGGTGCCACAAGTACTCCTTTTCTTTTTGCGAATACAGACTAACACGGCTGTTACTCTGAAACCTGCCATTACTACAATTAATTGTTACTATGATCAACTAGTGCAGTACTGAGTTGACCAGATTAAGCAGAATTCACCTCTTCTTTCAAAACAGACAGCTTTATAGACTAAGTACTAAGGGCCAGATTTTGCCACCCGTATTTAGTTAAGTAATGCCTCACCCCTCAAGTAGCCCCAATTAAGTCCATGAAATTACTCATGCGGTAAAGTACTACTTAATGCGAACAGGGTTGGCAGAATCTGGCTGTAAGTGAACTCAAACTGTGAAAACGTATCCCTATATGAAAACAAATTTAATTAGTGACATTAAAATAGATGTGTAAGTTGTGATTACTTGTTACCTACTTTTGATGTTGATATAGAGAAGTAAATGTCCAACATGTGACATTAGACATCCAGCTCCTGTTGTTAATGGGAATTGTACATATCAACATGTCCCCCTATTAGAAATGATTAAAACATTGCAATGGTGTTCAGATCTAATGTTTAAGTGTGTGCAGATGTATTCATCTTCAAATACCAGCTGTATCAGATTTCCACTCCAGATTCTGAATTGTTTTCAAATTTGCTATCTTGTGCCATTTCCCCCGGTTCCTCTCTGTGACCAGCAGGAACAAGGCTTAATTTACTAAAATCCTAATTTCTGAAGGGATATATATTGTCACTTCAGAAAACAAGAGTTCTAATGAGTTTTTCCTTGCAATCCACACACAGTAGAGCAAAGAACAGAGGGGCAAAAACTAACATAAATCTGGGGACAATGAGAGACAATCCCATACTCCCCATTTGCCAACTCCAATAAAAATCATGACCTACACAAATGTGAAAATATAGCACCTAGTGTTAACATGAAGTACTGCAGAATATCCATAAGGGATCCTTCCCCTCTTAAATTTTTGTTTGGGAACACCTGATTTTTCACCTAGAGTTAATCAGATGCAGGAATCTTCTTTTTTTTTTAAACCCACTATTATGTAAACTTAGATCTGATTCCGTAAGTTGCTTGACCTGATTGGTTCTTTTTCCACAGACTTCTCCAGTTCTGAGAGACTTCTTGGAACGGATGTTGACACGAGATCCCCTAGAAAGAGCAACAGCACAAGAGCTTCTGGATCACCCCTTCTTGCTCCAGACTGGACTTCCAGAGTGCCTGGTCCCCCTTATTCAGCAGTACAGGAAGCGCACCTCCACCTGCTGACTCTGAGCATGGGGAAAAGCCAGTATCCCAGCACTGGAAATTCAAGTTCTCTTCTGGAAACACTGGTTGTACTTGACCAAGAACTCAAGCAGTGTCACTCTGCGAACAGTGCTTAGAACTTGTCAGTATTTTTTTTTTTTTTAAAGGATGAATGTGAAAATTCCCCCAAGACCTTTAGCTGCTTCCCTTTTGCTGAAGACAATCAAGTCAGACCCAATATCTTTCAAGAACAAAACAGAGGCATGACATGGCTTCTGGAATCTCGTATTTCTCTTACAAGAATGGCATTTTAAAGATGTTTGAATTTGTATATTGAAGTGTCTGCAAACTCTGGAAAATTTTAACTACTGGCTATCAAATTGGAACTGTATTCCCCAAACAAAAATGTGATCTTTGTTTTTTAATGCTAGTTGTACACTGAGTCCTGAGCTGACCCAAAAGAGATGCATTTTGAGGCACCAACGTTCTAAAAAATCCTATCTTAAACAATGCACAAGGATTTCAACACTTTTTTGAGACTTTTCTCTTATTATTTTATCTCATTCCACAAGTGTGAACATCATTGGGCCTGGAAAAGAGCTACCTGGAGGGCAGATGTAATATATGTTTGGTTGCTTTCCAACTTCCTCCTTTGCATCAAACTGCTTCATTTCTATGGAGAATATATGTGGTTTAACAAGACAAAAAGGTGGTCTGTCTTGACTCGACCGCATGATCTTAGATATGTGGAGGGATGATGATCCTTGGCAAAGGCCTTCTCTAAGTGTCTCTCTCTCTCTCTCTGCTCTATAGAGAAAGTACTGCCTGCCACCAGAATCCTATGGCTGAAGCTTCATAACATGTGACACCACTACCTTTTCCAACACTGACTTGAATGGGAGGCAAAATGGTGTTCTCAGCAGGAAGGTTTTAAGAAAGCTTGTCCCAGGATCTAGATCCCCCTGGGTACATTGGATTTATATCAAGAAATGCTGCCTTGAAACAGCTGTTAGGTAGGACTTTGTACCATTGTGAATTCTGTAACAGGCTCAATAAAAAATTGAAGATGTCCTGTCTATCCCATTGGAAGATGTTTGTTTTCTTGGTGAGAAAGTTTGGCTTCCACCTCCCATGTTTTGTTACAGTGAAGGGTGATGAGGGGAGGGAGCGGTTGTGTGTAGTTTGTAATTGGCATGTCCACCATCCTTGAAATGTCTGAAGGTTTCTGTTTGTGTAAGGAGCCGCTTCAATCTTTTTTAAAGTAAATTTAGAATTTTTGTACAAGCTCACTGATCAGTGAGATAGTCATGGTCACTTTGACTCCTAGGTCAGGTTTTAACATGTACAGTAATGTGTTTAAAGTCATGCAGATATCTGGAACTTAGTCTTATCTGTGAAACTGGGATATCATTTTGCAGCCAAATTATAAAGATCATAGAAATTTGGATTTTTTTAGGGCACCCCAACTACCCAAAAAAAACCCCCTAATTATTGAATTTTCTTTAGGATGTTTTTTATCCTCCTCTTTCCCTCTACCACCTTCCCTGTTACAGATTTTGCAATAGACTTTTAGCTGTAATAAATTACATGAAATCATCTAGCCGCCTGGATGAAACTGATGCAAAAAATTTCTGTATTTCCAAGTATCCTGTCTTTTTATGCAAAAGAGCAGAGCCTTTTTAAAGAGGCCTATAATTTGAAACACTGTCTGTTTGTGAATTGGTTGCACTTGTGTTTTAAATTAAAGTAGATCTTGATCTATTCATTAAGCAGTTGCACTTTTGAGATCTTTTAAAATGTGGTTACAGTTTTGAGATGGAAGGAAGTGGGTAAGTGAGCGAGCCACAAGTCTGTTCTAATACACTCACCTACTTCAGAGGGGATGATTTCATAACTAGGGGTACCACAGCAAGAAAACTGAACCTTGAAAGGAGGGCTTGATTGGACACAGGTTGGAGAGTTCAAATTCAACAGTAGGATTTGAGCTTCAGCCCAATGCTGTCTAAAAAAGGTAGAGGGGAAGGGAGGCTGAACTCTGAGCCCTGGTCTATACTATGAATTTAGGTCGAATTTAGCAGCATAGGGTCGATTTAACCCTGCATCTGTCTACACGACCAAGCCTGTTTTGTCAACTTAAAGGGCTCTTAAAATTGATTTCTGTACTCCTCTCTGGCGAGGGGAGTAGCGCTAAAATCAACCTTGCTGGGTTGAATTTGGGGTAGTGTGGATGCAATTCGATGGTATTGGCCTCCAAGAGCTATCCCAGAGTGCTGCATTGTGACCGCTCTGGACAGCACTCTCAACTCAGATGCACTGACCAGGTAGACAGGAAAAGTTCCAGGAACTTTTGAATTTCCTGTTTGGCCAGTGTGGCGAGCTCATCAGCACAGGTGACTATGCAGAGCTCATCAGCACAGGTGACCATGGAGTCCCAGAATTGAAAAAGAGCTCCAGCATGGACTGAACGGGAGATACTGGATCTGATCGCTGTATTGGGGAGAAGAATCTGTGCAGGCAGAACTCCGTTCCAAAAGACAAAATGCCAATATATTTGCCAAAATCTCCAAGGGCATGATGGACAGAGGCTACAACAGGGACACACTGCAGTGTCGTGTGAAAGTAAAGGAGCTGAGGCAAGCCTACCAAAAAACAAAGGATGCAAACGGTCGCTCTGGGTCAGAGCCCTATATACGCCGCTTCTATGATGAGCTGCATGCAATTCTAGGAGGAGCCCCTACCACTTCCCCACCACTGTCCATGGACACCTGCAAGGGAGGAGTCTCACGCAACAGGGATTAGGATTTTATGGATGAGGAGGAGGATGAGGAGGTGGTTGAGGAGAGTGCACAGCAGGCAAGCGGAGAATCCCTTTTCCCTGGCAGCCAGGAACTGTTCATCATCCTGGAGCCAATATCCTCCCAACCCTCCCAAGGCGGGCTCCCGAACCATGAAGCCGGAGAAGGCACCTCTGGTGAGTGTACCTTTGTAAATATAATACAGGGTTTAAAAGCAAGTGTGTTTAATGATTAATATAATTATTAGTTAATATAATAGTTAATTTGCCCTGAAGACTTGGGATGCATTCACAGCAAGTATAGCTACTGGAAAAGTCTGTTAACGTGTCTGGGGACGGAGTGGAAATCCTTCAGGGACATCTCCATGAAGATCTCCTGGAGGTACTCTCTGTGTTAGCCTCAGGAGACTGATAACATTCATGGTCACCTGGATGCAATACAGCAAATCTGTTTAAGGGGACATTCAGAGGTGCCTGTTCCTGCTGGGCCGTTTGCCTTTGGCTGAAAAGAAATCATCCCTGCTGTTAGCCACATGGTGTGGGGAGTCCCGCAGCTGTTCGTGTTTGGCTGACAGGGATCTTCCCTGATACTAGCCACGTGGTGGTGAGGCGATCATCCCAGAGAATTGGGTGTGGTGGTGGTGGGGGGGGGGGTTGGGTTGGGTTGTGCTGCACATTCACCCTAAAACCGCAGCCCCTCCTTTTAAATGGCCAACCCAAGGGTTTTGCTTGGTATGGGAAAGGAGGGCACTGCTGTTTGAAACCGTTCCCACACGTTATGAAGGTTGAAGAAGCTGAAACTCTTTGCCTTACCATGGCTGCCTGCAAGCCGAATTCTGTTGCCCAACCGAGTGTGTGTGATGTCTCACACCAAACCGGCAGGCACTCGGTATAAGAGACAAAATGCGACCTTGTACCAAAAGCACATGTGCTATGCAATGTGAATCACTTGATTCAGTGTGAAATAGTCTTACATTTTAGAGAACAAAGGGATCTTTTCAAATACTACTCTCCCTTTTTTTCCTCCCGCAGCTGAAAATGTTTCTACACTCCCCCTATCATCTCCGTCCTAGAGGCGAGCGCAGATTAGAAGGTGAAAAAAACGCACTCGCAATGAAATGTTCTCAGAGCTTATGCAATCCTCCTGCACTGAAAGAGCTCAGCAGAACGCGTGGAGGCAAACAATGGCAGAGTCCAGGAAAGCGTTAAATGAACGTGATGAGAGGAGGGAGGAGCGCGATGAGAGGAGGCAGGATGCAATGCTGAGGCTAATGGGGGAGCAAAGTGACATGCGCAGGCGTCTGGTGGAGCTGCAGGAAAGGCAACAGGAGCACAACGCCACTGCAGCCCCTGTATAACCACCTGCCCTCCTCCCCAAGTTCCATATCCTCCTCACCCAGACTCCCAAGAAAATAGGGGGTGGGGGAGAGGCTATGGGCACCCAGCCACTCCACCCCAGAGGATTGCCCAAGCAACAGCAGGCTGGCATTCAATAAGTTTTCAACTGTAGTGTGGCCTTGTCCTTCCTGCCTCCCCTCATCCAGCACCCCACTCGGTGCTTCCCTCCTCACCCACCCCTCCCGGGCTACCTTGTGAGTTTTCCCGCTATTTGTGTGATGAATTAATAAAGAATGCATGATTTTGAAACAATAATGACTTTATTGCCTCTGAAAGCGGTGATCGAAGGGGGGAGGCTGGTTGGCTTACAGGGAAGTAGAGTCAACCAAGGCAGTGGGTTTTCATCAAGGAGAAACAAACAGAACTGTCACACTGTAGCCTGGCCAGTCATCAAACTGGTTTTCAAAGCTTCTCTGATGCGCAGGGCGCCCGGCTGTCTTCTTCTAATTGCCCTGGTGTCTGGCTCTGCGTAATCAGCCACCAGGCGATTTGCCTCAACCTCCCACCCCGCCATAAATGTCTCCCCCTTACTCTCACAGATATTGTGGAGCGCACAGCAAGCAGCAATAACAATGAGAATACTGGTTTCGCTGAGGTCTAACCTAGTCAGTAAACTGTGCCAGCAAGCTTTTAAACGTCCAAATGCGCATTCTACCAGCATTCTGCACTTGCTCAGCCTATAGCTGAACTGCTCCTTACTACTGTCCAGGGTGCTTGTGTATGGCTTCATGAGCCATGGCATTAAGGGGTAGGCTGGGTCCCCAAGGATGACTACAGGCATTTCAACATCCCCAATGGTAATTTTCTGGTCTGGGAAGTAAGTTCCTTCCTGCAGTTGTTCAAACAGACCAGAGATCCTGAAGATGCGAGCATCATGCACCCTTCCAGCCATCCCACACTGATGTCGGTAGAACATCCCTTGTGATCCACCAGTGCTTTCAGCACCACTGAAGAGTACCCCTAGTGGTTTACGTACTGGCTGCCAAGGTGGTCCGGTCCCAAGATAGGGATATGCCTTCCATCCCACCACAGTTGCATCCGATGAAGTGAGCTGTAGCTCACAAAAGCTTATGCTCAAATAAATTGGTTAGTCTCTAAGGTGCCACTAGTACTCCTTTTCTTTCCACTCCAAATTGATTCCCGACTGACCAGTAGCTGTCTGGCGTTGCGAGCTTCCAGAGGGCTATCGCCACTCGCTTGTGAACTGTGAGGGCTGCTCTTATCTTGGTATTCTTATGCTTCAGGGCAGGGGAAAGCAAGTCAAAGTTCCATGAAAGTGCCCTTACGCATGTGAAAGTCTCACAGCCACTGGGAATCATCCCATACCTGGAACACTATGCAGTCCCACCAGTCTGTGCTTGTTTCCCGGGCCCAGAATCGGCATTCCATGGCAGGAACCTGCTACATTACCACCATGATGTCCAAATTGCCAGGGCCTGTGCTTTGAAAGAAGTCTCTGTTCATGTCCTCATCACTATGGTGATCGTGCTGTCGTTGCCTCCTCGCTTGCTTTTGCAGGTTCTGCACATACTGCAAGATAATGCAGGAGGAGTTTGCAGTGCTCACAACAGCAGCGGTGAGCTGAGTGGGCTCCATGTTTGCCATAGTATGGCATCTGCGTGAGAGCAGAGTTGCAGCGGAAGCTGTGGATGACTATGACTATTAGCAGTCCTACTGCACTGTGTGCTGACAGCAGTATGGCGTCTGCACGGAAAAAAGGCGTGAAACGATTCTCTGCTGCTGCTTTCACGGAGGGAGACAGACGACATGTATCTAAAACCACCCGCGACTATGTTTTTTCCCCAGTCAAAATTTCTGAGCTCAACCCAGAATTCCAATGGGCAGCGGAGACTGTGGGATAGCTACCCACTGTGCAATGCTCCGAAAGTCTATGCTAGCCACGGTAGCGAGGATGCACTCTGCTGACTTAATGCGCTTAGTCTGGATATACGCAATCAACTGTATAAAATCGATTCCTAAAAATTGACTTCTATAAGATCGATCTAATTTCGTAGTGTAGACATACCCTTAGTAGGGCCACACTTTGATGGGACATGAAATCAAAGCACTCATTGCACTATTTGAAAAGACAAATTCCAGTTTCCTCCCTAAAACACAACAGAACCACAAGTTCCAATACTCAAGGCACTGTGAGCATCTGATTCTTGTTTATTTACACTGTTCTTGCACATATGCATCCCATTCATTGCTTTGTAAAGTAGATGAGATACTAGGAATATGAGAAGCACAATATAATTTCAAAATTCTATTCCAGTTTGTAAAAACTTAAAGTCATAGTCTCTGCATGTAATACCAATTTTCCCAGGAATAAGGCATCAAGCCCGAAGGACCAAGCCCCCCCCACCTCCATGATAAGCAGACTTACTAAATTTGTATTGCAGAAGCATCTACATGCTCTAGCTTCATTGTGGGCTGGGTGATGTACAAACATAACATATAGTCCCTACCCTGAACAGCAATAACAGTCTAAGGAATGGGTAATAGCTTAGCCAGAAGAAACACAATTTTGTGGCTTATACCATATGTATATCTTTTAGCAGGTATTCACTTGCAAGCCTCAGAGTCCTGGGGTGTGTCCTGTTTCAAAGATGTACAAAGTTGATGTCACAGGAATGGACAGTCAACTTTCCACCTTCTTAAAAATGCTTCAGGGTTAACCAGACCTGCATACGGTCATGAAAATTGCCCAGCCCAGCCATAAAACACACTTGCTCATCCTTTACCATAATGATTATTAATTATTATTATTTTATCAATGACATTTCACTTGCCCCTTTAAACAACTCCTCTTTCTGAGGAAGTGGGTGAAACGTTTTGCAAGGCTGCCCTTAACTGTCCTGCCAGCCCCTGCCATCACTGGCCGGTGTATTAAGGGAACTCCTGTTACTCTGATTTCACGACTTCTCCTTGCAGCCAGTGTCCCTGCTGGAGGCGGAACGGCTCCTGCTCCCACGTGCGCGCTGCCGAGCCGCGGCCCGCCCCGAGAGGAGCACTGAGGCGGGAGAGCAGAGTCAGGGGCCGGGCCGGGCCCCACCCCATGGCGGAGTCCGAGGGGGGCGCCCGGGGAGGGAAAGCCGGTCCCGGGGGGCGGGAGGGACCCCGGGCTCTGCCAAGGCGAGCCAACGCCTTAGCGGGCTGGGGGTGGCTCAGCGGTCACCGCGGCGGAGGCCCGGCCTGAGGAGCGCTGCGGCCTCGGGAGGGCCCTGCCCCGCGCTACCGGCGGCCGCCACGCCCGAGACCCTGGGGCACCTCAACCCCCCGCCCCGGGGATGAGCCACCTGGGGGCGCCCTGGGCGGCGGGGGTTACCAGGGTGGCCGCGCGGTTTGTGGGCCCCCCCCCAGCCCGTGCTGCTGCCCCCTCTGCTTCTTCCAGGCCGGCCTGGCTGCTGCCCCTGTGACCTGTCCGGGGCTCCCACAGCTCCCCGGGCAGGGCCCCTCTTCCTGGCGGTCCGCTCTCCGCCCGGTGGGCTTAGAACGGAGAGTCACAAGCCGCGGCCATTTTATAGGCAGCTCGGTCACAGCCGCGGACGCGGAGGCGTGTGTGGGGTGGGGGGAAGCGTGGCGGGTTAGACTTCATAGAAGTCCAGGTGCGCCCCAGAGGCGAAGGTGTCCTCCAGCAGCAGCGTCACTAGCTTTCGGGCGGACACGCTGCAGTCCAGCAGCTGCCCGCCCTGCTTCATGCGGAGGAACTGCTCCCGCACTTCCGGGTCTCCGGACTTCGTGCGGGCCAGCTGCTGCATTTCCGTGTCCAGAGGCCCTGGGGCATAGCTGAGAACGCGGACGTCCGGCTTCTCAAGTGCCAGCACCTGGAACATCATGTCCCGCGAGGCCTTCCCCGTGCAGTACAACGTCCAGCTCTTGAAGGGCTTCAGGGCACACAGTGAAGAGATGTTCACAACAGTCTTGCACAAGCCAGGGTGCCCTGGGAAGGCCTTCAGGATGGAGGATGTGAGGCAGAGAGCCGAGGTGACATTGAGGGCAAAGTAGCTGTTGACTTCGGCTGGGCTGGTGAAGTCCACAAAGGATTTGGAAATGTCTCCAAGTGATCCTGCATTGTTGATGATGAGGAGCCGCTCCAGATTAGCCACTGCAGGCAGCTTGTCCTGGACTGCTCGGAGCACCAGCTGTAGCCCGTCCTCCGTGCTCAGGTCGGCCTGCACGGAATGCACGTTCAAGCTGGGGAAAGTGGAGCGCAGCTCAGCCTCCAGCTCGGCCAAGCCCCCCTGGGATCGGGCCACTGGGATCAGGACGGAGCCAGTCTCCAGCCGCGGGGCCAGCAGCAGTGCCAGGCACCGGCCGAAGCCCCGGGATGCCCCAGTGAGGATGCAGGCTGCCTTGCCCAAGGAGACTTGCCTTTTCCCGGCTCTCTCTCCAGCTTCCATCCTCTCGCTCTGGCTGCCTGGCCTGGCCTGGCCTGGCCTGGCCTGCAGCTAGAGAGTGGGCGGGGCTGGCTGAATAGGTCAAGGGGCTGGTTTTAGGCTCCGCGTGATTCCTCCCGCAGTCAGTTGCGCCCAGCGTTCTGAGAATCACAACAATTTAAAAGTGAGGTGCAGTCCTTTTTTGCAGCAGACAGTTGCAGCTCAGAAAGAGCCCCGATTGGTCCCTCCCCTGCGTCTGCAGCAGCCGATTGGTCCATTCCCCTGCAACCCCCGGTTCCAATCCTGGGAAGGGGGTCCCGCAGGGAGGCACTGACGGACGGCTGGCACTGGGTCCTTGGCTTGTGCGTGCCACTGTGACAGGGAGTGACACTGCCCCTCACCTCCAGTGAGTATCCCCACCACAGGTACCATCCAGGACCCCCCCCCGGTAATCCTCCCAGTAGTACACACCCTTCCAGCGCCTCCCTGCTCCCTTCTACCCAGTGTCCTCTTTTGGGGAACATGAAGTATGGTAATCCTGTTCCCTGGGTGGGTGATGCCAGGCCAGAGTCCTACCATCCCCCTGGGAACTGACCCTGCCAGGAGTCCCGCCTCCCCCCCCCCCCTTCACCTAGCTCAGCCACCCAAGAGTCCCTCTGACCAGTGCTGGTGCTAGCCCACTGGGGGCCCTAAAGAAGGATATTTTGCCCCCTCTCCCCCCACCACACACAACACATACTAATAATTAATAGGGGGTCCATGGCAATGTTCCCTCTAATTTTTGACAGGCCGAGCATGCAAAAAAATTTTTCTGTGCAAATTTTTGACAGGTTGTGTGCGCAAAAAAATTTCTTCTGTGCAAATTGTTGTGCTTCTGTGCAAATTTTTGTGTGTGCGGTGTTTTGCTGTGTGTGTGGGGTTTAGGATCTGTGTGCGCGTGCACATGCGCACAGCTTAGAGGGAACAGTGGTCTATGGAGCTGCTTGGGACTGTAAGCAATTGCTTAGTTTGCTTATGCCTCCAACCCCCAGAGCCTAGGGTTGCCAATTTTGGTTGGACATATTCCTGGAGGTTTCATTACATGACATAATAAGAACATAAGAACGGCCATACTGGGTCAGACCAAAGGTCCATCTAGCCCAGTAGCCTGTCATAGAATCATAGAATATCAGGGTTGGAAGGGACCCCAGAAGGTCATCTAGTCCAACCCCCTGCTCGAAGCAGGACCAATTCCCAGTTAAATCATCCCAGCCAGGGCTTTGTCAAGCCTGACCTTAAAAACCTCTAAGGAAGGAGATTCTACCACCTCCCTAGGTAACGCATTCCAGTGTTTCACCACCCTCATGGTGAAAAAGTTTTTCCTAATATCCAATCTAAACCTCCCCCACTGCAACTTCTGGCAGTGGCCAATGCCAGGTGCCCTAGAGGGAATGAACAGGTAATCATCAAGTGATCCATCCCATTGCCCATCCCAGCTTCTGGCAAACAGAGGGTAGGGACACCATCCCTGCCCATCTTGGTTAAAAGCGATTGATGGACCTATCCTCCATGAATTTATCTAGTTCTTTTTTGAGCCCTGTGAGTCTTGGCCTTCACAACATCCTCTGGCAAGGCATTCCACAGGTTGACTGTGCATTGTGTAAATCTTTAATTAAAATTAATCTTTAATTTCTGGAGACTCCAGGACAATCCTGGAGGCTTGGCAACCCTACCTCAGCCCGACTCACTCCTGTGCCCCCCTCTGCCTGATCTGCCAGGAGCGGGTCCTTCCAATGGGAACTGAAGGGAAACTGATTCTTGGGACTGATCTCCCCATCCCAGTACTGGGGGATGCACCCTGTGCTGCCCACTCCAGTTGGGGCTTGGCCTGTGCAGCAGGGATGGGCCAACTCATATAGGTAAAGTAACCCCTGTTCTTCCCCCTCTCGGAAATGTGTAGACGTAGCCTGTGAGGCTCTGAAATGTTCAGAGAAGTCATCCAGCTGGGGAGCCAACCCCCCAGTGCAGAAATACTATGATAAAGGATGTTTGCCTAGCGTTACTGGCCCCTCTGCTAAGCCCACAATGCTGCATACCTTGGGCCTGATCCTTATACCAGAGTGACTGTTGCCTTCAGTGGAGTTCCTCCTGATCTATTCTGGCATGCCTGAGAGGAGAACTTTTTGCTGAGAGGCTGTGGTATTAAGATTTCCAACCCAATGATGCAGACTTAGGAGGTTTGGATGGTTCAGCTATTGCTGGAAAAAGCCTATGAAATTTTGGCTCTCAACTGAACCTAGTTTGTAGCTTCTTTTAGAGCTGACTTCTGCCAATATGGGGATGGACATAGTCACTGAATCCTGAAGGCAACATTTTGCATACAAATAATTGCACAAAAGGGTACAGAGAGCAGGATTTCTCGGCCTAGTTATCCGTGGGCAGTTTTCAATAAGTCACTGCCTGCTTAGAGAATGCTTTCCATTTCTAATCTTATTGTGATACAGAAACCTTATGAAACCAAACCAAAACATCGAATTTTCACTACTGAAAGGCTTAAAAAAAGGATCCTGTCATTCTTCTGTTTTTGTTCTTTGTTTTTAATTTTGGAAATAGATCTAGACTAGGGAGTAAGCATTTCAAAACCATTATTCTGTGTACATTATTGTTGCTATTGTGATAATAGAGAATTTTATTTATTTTTATGCCAGCTTTTATTGTAAAAACATATTTAGTCTGGTTTTATCAATCCTTGTTATGCTTGTCCTTGGAACATCTTTTGCGTATTCAAGGTTTGTAGTTGACAAGTTTACTGTAAAAAAACAAAACAAAAAATGTATTGTTTTTACAGAATAAAATTTATTGGAATGTGTATTGGGAGTAAGGTTTGAGGTTGTAAGCAACTAAGTTAGCGTCATATTTGGCGTTGTATGTGTAATAATGTGAGGTATTAATGTAATTCAAGTATTAAAGCAAAACATTCTATTAACACCGAGTTGACAATAATAGAGAATGACAACAGAAATAAGGCTAAATCAGCAAATTACATGCATTTTCTCAGTATTTGCTTCAGTATGCTTGATTGACTGCATATGCATAAGTATGTGTATCTCTTTATCACAGTGATGGTTGTTGCTAAAGGAAGCTGATTAGCTTCAAGCTTCTAGCTAATGTCTGTAAAGTGTTTTGAAAATGTGAAGTGGCAGTGCAGATAATAAATATAACAATACCAGTGCACTGCAAGGGGTGCTGCTCCTTCCCAGCCAGCTCTTGGGTGGGAAAGGAAGGCGCCGACCAACCTCTAGCTCCTTCTCTGAACAGAGTGCAGGGAAAGACGGATCTTGGGCCAAGCCTCCCACCTGAAGGAGTCATCCTTATTGGGCAGTTTTCTCCTGCACGTCAATGCTGAACTGCCACTAGGGAGCCTGCATAGGAAAACTGGAGACTCGGAGACAAGCCCCCACACTGTATCACTTGTTTAGAAGTCTCCTTTTGAAAAAGTCCATATTCTGGTCCCTTGCATAGAGTAGCAAAAGAATGTGAGCATGGAGAGAATCTAAAGTTTTTCTAAAGATAAAGACCCGCCATATACTATGTAAAATAGGCTTATCTTGGTTATCATTAATTTTTCTTTTTCCATTACCAGCCTCAAGAAAGCCATTTGCCATTCTACCTTGTGTTATAATCTCATCAGATATCTTACACCAGCATTTCTCAAATGTGGGCACCAGGGGCTTTTCTTGCCGCCACAGCAATCTGGGCTGTGATGGCGGGCGAGGGGGAGAGGAAGTAGTCACCTGCCCTCCTTTCCCTTGCTCATGGATGCTCCAGCTTAGTGTTGATTGCTGAGTCCGCCAGCAAGGGTTGGGCCCTACCCCTCTCTGGAGACACATGGGGCACAACCTTGAGGAGCAGGCAGCCAGTGCGTTCCCCACCTTCCCAGGGATGGTGGGGCTCAGGCTTTGGGCTTCAGCCCTGGGGTGGCGGGGCACAGGCTCTAGCTGCAGAGCTTTGGGCTTTGGCTGCAGGGCTTTGGGCTCCAGACCCCCGCTGCCTCCCCTGACCTCCCATCCAGGGCTTAATTTGTCTCCAGTCTTGGCAGGGCTGAATAAGTCTGCTGTGAAAAATGATACTTGTGTGTTTGTTAATATCACTTTCACAACAGACTTACTAGCTAGCAATAAATCAGTTACAATGGTTTGGACCTGTGCATATTTATTTGTTTTTCCTAAAGCTAATTACATATTTTAGGAAAAAGTGGGAGAGTGGCCATCAGCAAAAGTTGGTGGCCACACTTGGAGGGCACCAAAAAATTGTCCTGAGAACCCGTGTACACTATGCAGGGTCTGGGCTGGTCAGTATACTTGGCTAGAGCTGCAAGAATGCTGCAGGAATAAGTGATGCTAGCAATTCAGAAGGTGGTATTCTTTCCACAGAATCTTTTGAAACAGTGTCCTGGTGTGATGTTATGGGACCCTGTGCTGCTAACAGTATCACCTCTCAGAGAGGGCATAAAAGAAAATTCCTTCTCACTTGTAATCATTAAAGTTTGCATAGCACTATTTGCGTGAGTAGATCTATTAGCCCATGTCCTGGTTGCATCCCACTTTGGCTAATTACATGCTGCCTAAATTCCATCTAATTTCAACTGGAGACACATTCCCAGATAGAATATTATAAATGCCTCGTCACTATGGTAGCTAGGTTGCTTTACTTTTCTCCCTAAGAACTGTTATATGGTGTTGCTGATGCAGAGTGTATTTTGCATTCTGCCTCAGCTGTAGTTTCATTTTAATAGTCAGCGAGTGAGCCTAATATATACAGTCTGCAAAGCGCATTTGGATCTTTTTGGAAGAGGGGTGCAACTGTACGTTAAACGCATTCCCTGTGTTTCGTCCAGCTCTCTGTATAGGCTGTCAGGGAAACAATGCTGCTGCTTCATTTTATGACAGAAGCTGCATAGTAGAAACGTATGCAGTGCCGTGACATGAGTCATGTTCTTGTTTTTTCTCTGCTTTTAAAAAGTGCTATTTGTATCCCATAACATTAATCATAAGTCCTAAAATTACTTTCTCAAATATCACTGAGCAGGCACGTCCTCGTTCAGCCTTGATTGTTTGGAAAGGCAGATAGCTCCTCCTTCAAGAAACCTCAGTGAGATAGGCTGTGGCAAGGAGTGGAATAACACCAAAGAACATTTGTCATTTTCCCTAGTGTAGCCACCCCAACAGAATGTCATCTCCAGCCTTGTGTCAACTTGACAAGGAATTAATAAGCA